AGCAGCAACAACCAATAACAACAACCAACACCAATCAGCAACAATCAACAACAACCAACAACGACAGCCAACAGCCAACAGCCAACAACCAACAACGAACAACCAACAGGAACGGTAACAACAACCACAACAACGACCGCAACCACAACCACAAGCACAACCACAAGCACAACCACAACCACCACAACCACCACAACCACCACAACCACCACAACCACCACAACCACCACAACCACCACAACCACCACAACCACCACAACCACCACAACCACCAAGCCACCATCACCACCACCACCACCACCACCACTACCACCGGTCACAACAACGACAGCAGCAAGAGCAAGAGCGAGAACAAGAGCAACAGCAACAGCAGCAGCAACAAGAGCAACAACAGCAACAGTAGCCGCAACAGCAACAGCAGCAGCAACAACAGCAACGACAGCAACAGCAGCAGCAACAGCAGCAAAAGCAACAACAGCAACAACAGCAACACAGAAACAACAGCAACAACAGCCGCAGCAACGACAGCAACAACAGCAACAACACAACCACAGCAACCACAGCAACAACGGCAACTACAGCAACAACAGCAGCAGTGGCAGCATCAGCAGCAGCAACAGCAGCAGCAACAACAACACCAACAACATTAGGCACTGCACAAACGCGAGCTGCATCGCTGATCAAGCTGCAACCCAGGACAACATGATGCTGGCATCGCGTGGCCGTCACACCCAGGCCACGTCGCTGCGGCTCATCGACTTTGGCCTGGCTCGGCGACTGGAGGATGTCACGCATGGGCTGGCGGGCATCAGCGGCACCAAGCCCTACATGGCTCCGGAGATCTTCCTCGAGCGGCACGGAAGCTTGCAGGGTCAATGCATCTTTTCTCTTTTTTCAGGAGGCCTGGGGTTCTGCAGCGAGTCCGCAGATTTTCAGGCCTCTTGTGTATGACATCGTATGAGGGATTCGGAACATTTTGACGGGGACCTGAGCGTTCTGCAGCGTGCCCGCAGATCTTCAGGACCCCTTATTTGTCGAGAACAAATCAAAAACGCAGTTTGAAGGGCGTCGTGTTCCGGCTAAGTTGGGGGTTTTAGGGGGGGTGAGCTCATCATCAGATCGACCCAAGGCCTGCCTGTTGATGTTTGGGCGCTTGGGGTGACTTTTTTTAAGTTGGCGCGGGCGGCTTCCCTTCGACATTTCTGCCGCGCCCGGTACCATGGTGAAGCCTCCGCACCTGGACCGTGGCTCGCAGTTCAACCACCTGCTGGCTGCTGTGCTGCGCTACAAGCCAGCAGACCGTGCCACAGCGGCGGAGGTACTCCAGATGCCCTTCATCCACAGGCCAGCTGAAAGAATAGCAGTTGCAAAGCCTCAGTGCTGGATGGATTGCACTCGTTGCTTACGCTCCCCCCGGTTGTATTTCGACCCGCACGACGGTCACAACAGCCCTGCCGAACCCAGGAAAATCCCGGAGCTTTAGGAGCATCAGTGTCAGCCAGCAACGCGGCCATCCTTCAACCATCTTGTCCTTTCACGCGAATGGCAAGAAGACTCAGGAATCACATGTTTCAAACACATGTGCAACACATCACCGCTGCAGATGTGACTTGATTCAGCATTTTTTCCCAAGCCCGACCCTATCCCAACACCACGAAGTGAACAGCACAACAGGCAGCCGTCCGCCAGAGCTCGCAAGCCGCGACGAGCCCGGCAGGCTGATTGGAATGCCCCGGTTCGCGAAGTCACAGCGGAAACGGGGACGTTCGAAGTTTGCAAGGAACTCCTTGTGAGTTTTCAGTTTGCTGGCCCATTTGGGGATCTTTGAAGGTCGGCTCGAGCGTTTTGGAGCTTTTCTAAGCTGTCTTTGCCGATGCTGTGCAGGCTAGGGCGGTGCTGGAGCAGTAACACATGCGGATGTGTTCTCGAAATGATAGTTTCCTGGATCTACCAGCAGCCCCCGAAATCGCCGGATTCATATTGACCGGTCCACATGTGCAGTAGGTTGAGCAGGAGTCGTGACAATCGGCCTTGATCCTGGATGCTCTTCCGCAGGCCACAGCTTCTGATAGTTCGACAACATTATGTAGCATATTCTACCGGATTATAGTATACAGTATACTGTATATTGTATTGCAGTATATTATACCGAAAAGTATTAGCAGAATAGATCTTACTATCTAGCAGCGTAGGTGCGCGGTGATGCGCGGCCGCCGGCCGACTCGTCGGAGGATGGCAGCGAGGTTCCGTTGGTGGAGGCCCACCATGCAGGGATGGAGCCTGATTAAGAAACCCTGGGGTTTTATTCGGACTCTTAATACGTATCCTACAGTTTTGGGCTTATAGGGCCAGGGTTTCTTAATCAGGTTCCTACATTAGCTGGGCCAGCTTGCATGCTTTCTTCAGTTTGGACTCTTGAAGGGCTCATTGACCATCATGTCTGCATGTGACCTTGCGCATGACGGGCAAAGAGCTATGGAAAAGGCTGTTGTTGTCAGGGAGGCGTCGCGTCGAGTGTGGGCAGGTTGAGGGAAAGATGTTGAACATAGATCGTAGTTCTTGTCCCCGACCGGTTGGACCATGTAGAAACCCTTGTGTAGAGTGCGCTGCTTCGGCGGGTTGCGGTGTGCTGCGCGTTTGAGAACCTTAGTTCGACTAGTGCCCAGAATCGTCAGACAATCTAAAGAGCCAGCTTGGCTGAGCTTCGGATCCGGCTCTTGATCTGAATTTCGGGGAGCGTATTAAGAGCTTCGAGGCGCTCCCGACGTTGATACAATCCATCCGCGAGGACTGCTTGGCATCAGGCTCAGTAGAGCGGTGTGGGTTGGCCGATCTATCTATCGACCTTTCGATCGACCTATCTATCGACCCATCCTGCTGAGAAGTTTAGGACATGTGCGGTGAGACCCTGCAATCCTTTCACAGTCGCCCTTGAGACGAATGTTGTCAAGTAGCGGCACCTCAACTATCCGGCAGAGTACCCCTGGAGTGCAAAGTGTCCTCATCGGGTTCCCTAAATTCTGCGCGTAGCTACCAGGTACCAGTGTTCGCTTCTATCAATTCACGTGCCTGGGCTCCCCAAGTTCGGTAATGGACGCTACCGTCAGTGCCGATATCGGCACCCAGACTCACAACTGCTTTAATACTGGTACTAGATTAGACTTAAACAATGCGTACTATGTGTACTAGCACAAACAAGCGAAATCTGTCTGTCCTGTTCCCGGCGGCCATATTCTTGCCCGGAGGACCAGCACCTGCCGAGCACTCACCTGCAGCAGAAGCCGGCATCCTTGGAGCATGAGCAGAAAGAATGCACAACTCCTTCCACTGCCGAGAACGAGACAGGCGAGGACCGGCAGTACATTGGCAAGCTTCAGCAACAGTTGGAAGACATGGAGGATAAGATCGCACAGAGCAAGAAACTACAGGAAGCTCAGTTGGGTACCCATGCCGATCTTTGTTCTGCTCTCCTTCAGACGGAAGACCTGCTGACCAAATCTTTGTGCAACGACAAGTTGCAGGAATTGCTAGCCAAGCTGCACACTTCCCTGAGTGCCTCAGAGGTCAGCCTGGCCCAGTATCGATCCAACTTGGAGGTCCAGGAAGCCTTGGCCTTCCAGCTGAGGCAGCATGTGGACACCTTCCGATCCGAGTCCAAGGAGCTAAAGACAATGGCAACGGACTTGAGGGCGCAGCCGGAGATGGAGCTTTCTCAGCACCTTGGCCCTACACTCAACCATAGCAGGACACTCTTCTGCCTCGTTGTGCTCTGAGGTCCGTGAATGCTCTGGAGCAAAGCTTGGCCACCTGCATTTCCGAGTTGCGCCAGGCAAGATCTTGGAAACCCCTTGGCGTGAGTGAGTTCTTCAGAGCCGAGCACGAACGCGGGACCATAGCATCCATGCGATACCTTCCTTCTCATCGGCTTACACTCTGTTTGCCAGTTTATCTTGAAATGTCTTAGTACTTCGTGCGGCACAAATAAGATGCCCACGGGTTAAGTATGTTCATATTTGCAACTTGCCACCAAAACCATCTTCTTCGTCGTGGTACAAGTCCCTTTTTCTGTCTCTCTCTTTCTTTCTCTCTTTCTTTCTCTCTCTCTTTCTCTCTCTTTCTCTCTCTCTCTCTCTCTCTCTCTCTCACTCTCTCTCCCCCTCTCTTCCTCTCTCTCCCTCTCTCTCCCTCCTTCTCTCTCTCGCTCTCTTCAGGTAGCATCGATGGCAACACAGAACGACAGCTTGCCTGCTTGCCAGGTTGAAGACCAGCCTCGAGAAGAGCGCAGCCTTCTTGCAAACATGCAGCCAGAAGCACAGATACAGGCCTACGGCTCTCTTTCACACGCCGAGGGAGCTGGGCTGCTTGATAAAGACCTGGTCCGTTCCAATTCAGGGATGTTGGAGCAAAGCTCCGACTCAGCAAGTAACATGTCGACTGCTTTCGTGATGCCGGGCTTTCTGAGCACACATTTTCAGAATGCCACTCCATTAGAAGGCTCCTTGCCGTCTCCATTTCCGGTGCTTAGCACGGCGCCCGTGTGGTGCACACCAGGTGTGTCGTTTGCCAGGGTGCCGCAGGTCCTTCCTCCAGGTGCTGCCGTTATCATTGACGGTCTGATGCTGTGCCCGATCTTTAATGGTTGGATCTTTAATGGTTGGATTGGCATCATCGACTCCTATGATGCAAAGACCAGGCGTTACAACGTGCAGATGCCGCTGACGGACAGAACCGAAACATTTGCCCATGCTGTGTCATGATACATCGTGTATGCAGTGACTGTGGCACTGGCAGCCTTCGTTGCAGGATAATTCCGGTGTCAACCAGATTGCCAAGATCAGACCCGAGAACCTCAAGATTTACCCAACTCCTCGGTGCCAGTGAATGGCCTGCTCTGTGGACAGTTTCAGGATGCATTTTCCGCAACTGGTCCAAAAGAGCTTCTCTCCTGGCCAATGCGCCACGGTTGCACGATGTTGCAGGTTTGCCTGCTTGGACAATAT